TAGTATTTTAAAGAATTTCTTGCAAAATTTATTCCATAGGCTAAAGATTAGTAGTTTTAGTAATTCTGAGTAACACTATTTTATTGAAAAGGAACCTGGAATTTCCAAATCTTATCTACCGCAGCTTTAGGATAAAATGTAGGAACTAAAAGATTTTCGCGGAACAAGCCGAATGCTATCTGCTTAAACTATTTAAATTATACGGAAAAGTTTTATTCTTTTATATTTCTGCGTTTCTCCGGATTTAATTCGTAAACCATATTTAACGGTCGCTAAAAATTGGAAAGAATAAGCAGCATGACTTTCTCAAATTTGAAAGCATTTTTGGAAGGTAAGAAAACAAAATATTCATCTGATCATTTCGTAAAAATATGTAATCGGCCTAACTAGTTCTTCAATGAAATAACAAATTAATATATTAGGTTGATTGGCTTTCACTCCATTTAGTACAATAAAATCACAAAATAAGAAAAAGAAAGAACACAGATTTTTACAGTTATTTAATGGCGCCTTTACCAAATACAAAATACTACAATATTCCGACTTCTGTATATATAAACAGGTGGTAATAGACCTAATTACCGTTATTATAAAGTCATGAATTTAGATTTAACGACGCAGAGTGATTCAAACCCATTTGGTATTTTACTAATAGATCCGAATATCTTCCAACAAATTTAGTTTTTTGCTTTTTGATGCATGATGTAAAATATGAAAATTATCGTCAAGCTTGCGCATTTCCGAATTTAAATTTTCTGGACTTAACGTACTTAACTGGACTTAAAGTACCATAAACCCTCATACTCTTGCAAAATGGCTGCATTTTATTCTTTTATCAACAAACTGCTCAATATACCACTTTCCACACAAGATTTGGAAATTGAATTAAATAATATAAAACATATAGTTTTCAGCAATCGTTTCGACCTTTTTTTGATACATAAGATTATAACTAAAAAACAGTTTCAAATAACTCTGAACTCGATCCATCCCATTTTAAACACCAAACCCATAATTTATAAAACCCTAGCAAGAAAGTTTGGAAACATCTTGGTTTCAAGATTGCTTTTAAAACTGAAAACACCTTAGGAAAATTAAAAAAAAAACAATGAAACTATATCACGAAAAACTCAAAAATCCGGAGTCTGCAAGTTAAAATGGGAATCATATCCAAAAATTTGTATCGCACAAACCAGTAGAACATTTAAGACAGAACGTATAAAAACGAAAGTTCGAATTGTACCCATTTAAATTCAGAAATGCACAAGTTTGACGATAATTTTGTTATTTTACATAATGCATGACAAAGCAAAAGCTAAATTTGTTGGAAGCTATAGATTAATAAAATAACCTGTACGTACTGACGAATAGGATTTTAATGTTAAATCTAAATTTATTACCCTACAATAACGGTAATTAAGAATCTATTGCTACCTGTTTATATATCCCATTTTTTGTTTTAATTTAATTGTATTAGAATGTGTGGAGTTTGATATTTATCCTACAAAAATAATAGGAATCGTTGGCTTGATTTTTAGAATGATGATTAAATCGGAGCCTAGTTGTTACGTTTTCATTTACACTAATATAACTCCAAAATTCCAGTAATTTATGTAGTTACCCTTATTATACATTGTGGTGACTGACATGTTTGCGTCTAAAACAATCAATTGTTGTTTAATACAATTCAATTACAGAACATAACCACTAGAATAATTGTATTGGTTGTATGAAATTTGCCCAGAACATTTTAACAGGGAGGAGAATCAATTTATGCAAAATTAATTCATATACGCAATGGTATTCGAGGAAATTAAATGTATCTTACTAATTCAGTCGCGCCTTCGCGTGTATTCAGTTGGTCATCGTCCGCGTAAAACGAAAGAGTTTAGTTTTTAGAAAACTAACGCGTAATTTTGCACCAGATGTATTGTGGGTAAACAGTAGATGCTCATAATAAACCCACATGTACGCAATTTGCAAATCTGGTGGGCATTTATCCGTTTATTTATATTTACACACAATCCCTGCATATGCTACAGCTTTAAATGTATCGTAAATCACGTTAATATTGAAATTTACGTCCAGATCGGCGAAATCGGCAAATGCCGAGTTTTTTTTTAATTACGCGGCTAATAAATTAAGTCAAGCAACTCAAAAATGTTTAACAAATCACGTGGGGCAAGTTTAACATTTATCCGTTACACTAATCGTATGAATTTGCATAAAACGCTTTCAAAATTCACAGTTGTACAGTCTTTCTCTCGAAGGCTCTCACCTTAATTATGTCTAAGCGAGCCATTTTACTTCGAAATGCCCCTCTAACAGCTCCATACGTCTTCTTTGCGGTTTTAGCCTTCCGTGTGCGAAATCTAAATGCAGAACCTTCGGCGTGCATTCATCTCTAAATGCCTTCAAATATGCGCTTTAAATAATTTCACCGGTTTTGTTTCCCAAAGGCGAGTTTTATTCGGCTAATTCGACGTACGTAACAGTGAAGCGTGGTCGGGCTACCAACTGCCATGTAGAGAGTAGTTAAATTAGTATTTAATAAATAGTAGGCTCTTAATTTTGCAAAGAAACTTCCACAAGCTACTGTAATACTATTTACAAAACTTCTGGATTCTTCCTGCTTCAGTTATTCATGACTTGTTGCCGTTTCCCCAATCATCCCTTTGGTAATGTTCAAATTGACACCTTTTTATATTCCTTTGATAATCTGATTCCGAAGCTGCTTCAGAATTTGCATCACTCAGTAGAAAACACACTGCTGTTGCTGTATTATTTAAACGAAAATACTAAAAGAAAGGAAATATTGACAGTTGACATTTGTTTTTGTTTGTTGTCATAAATAATAGCAATAGCCTTAATACCCTTATATTACGCATTTAATTTTCGAAAACTCAATATATTTTTGAAAAAACAAAAAATGGGAGATTATGATTTTCCAATTCAGTGGTAAAACGTATGTTACGGTGTCTAGCGTGTAAATGGTTAGGCAAATGCAGTTGCGTTTCCATAGTTTTGGTTTTAGATGAAACTGCTAAGGGCTTTACTGTCATAAGCTTTCAATTTGATCGTTGCAAAAAAGTTAGACTCTGAAGAAGCCAACAGGATACTTTTTCCAAAACTTCGATTCCTCCTGCGTCGGTTTTTGCTGAGTCGAACTTGCTAACGTGTAGCCAATCATCTTGTTGGCTTTTTCAGAGCTTGACTGTAACTGGCTCGCATTTTACTCTGTAACTGCTTATATATTGTTTGAGGGGGCGGAGCTAAATGAGGGGCATAAACACCGTCTCGGATGACTCATTCCCATATTGGTGATAGGTAAAGACCTGAGTCGCGGTTAAGATTGTTAGGTTGTTTATAGATTCCTATCGACTCATGGGTTTTTAGGTTAAGACAAAATTCCATTTGAAATGCCAGGAGTTTACAGCATTCCATGCATTGGAGAGATCGGACGAAAAATATCAACTAGGCTCAACAAACACAATCATGAAACCGAACATAAAATTTTATTCGATAAAACTAAAATTCTTGCATGTAATCAATTCTTCTACCAACGAAAAATCCGAGAGTCAATAGAAATTTATAAACAACCTAACAATCGCGACTCAGGTCTGTACCGGTCACCAATATGGGTATCAGTCATCCGAAACGATATTTATGCCCCTCATTTAGCTCCGCCCCTTCAAACAATATATAAGCAGTTACGGAGTAAAATGCGACTCATTTTCAGTCATGCTCTGAAGAAGCCAACAGGATGATTGGGGAAACGTTAGCGAGTTTGACTCAGCAAAAACCGACGCAGGAGAAATCCAGAAGTTTGGTAAAAAGTATTACATTAGCCTGAAGAAGCCAACAGGGTGATTGGCAAAACGTCAGCAAATTAGATTCATCAACAACCGTTAAATTATATTAAAGTGAATACTGATTAGCAAAATTGCCTTACGTAAAACTAAAACTAATATCATTGGAATAAATATTAAGATCTGTTTCTCTGAGACGGAAGAAAAAAGAAATTAAAGAAACGAGAAGGAAGCCAAAAAAAAAAATAAATAAATATGTTACAAAACTTTTCAAATAAATTCTTGTATCAATCCGTCATCGTGTTATAAAAGTATGTTTTTTCCACGTTAAAAGCTGAAAATTGTAGCATACAGCAGAGAAATTTCCAAAAACTTAAACTGTTATAATTAAACATAATCTCCACGGCCTCAGAATTTTGATGAGAAGCTTTCCTACTCCAAGTGCTTTAAAATACTGTATCAAACTTTAAGTTGATATTACTACCTGATAGTAAACTTTAAATAAGCTGTTACGCGCTTAGAATTTTAATCAGGGTGGTTGAACCGGGGAGCAGCTCTAATTTAATGTTTGTTATGATTAGAAAGTAATGCCCGTAAAGGTATTGAGCCGGAACATACTATTCTATCTCAAAGGCGCGTCCCGTTCAACAAATCAATCGAAAAAAAGAACACCCGAAGACATTAAACGCATTTTAAGCGACATTTTTTACACGAAAATCGTTCAGCGACTTAATCTAAAAATGTCGACAAAAGTATGGAAATGCCCAAATCCGGATCGCGGCTCAAATTAAAAAGATATCAGAGCCATTCAAAAGCACTTATGATGGCAAACTGCAAACGCAAAGCTTATATCCGACTAACAACGTGATCTTCATTCCCAAACCGTTCAACTTCCGGGAAAAAATACAGTTTGAACTTCCCGCGGACTTACAAGCTTTGACAAACTAGCGGTTTCGAACTCCTTCGAATTTTGCCGCAATTGTTGCCCCTAATCCAAAATTTTAAGAGCGATTTTCCCACGAACTTAAAATATTTGCACACCCTTGAAAACACGTAGTCCATGTTTTGTATTTAGCTAATAATTTAGCCATCGCACACGCACACCTTTACAAACCCAAAACGACAAATAATATCAATAGCTTTTTGAGTTCAGCTGATCTGACTGACGGTACCTAGTATTCTTTATTGCAGACGGTGATAGAAGCGTGTCAGAAAAAGCGGCAGTGCAAGTTTCAGACATCACCCACCACATTCGGAGGTGATCCGTGTCCAGGAATACCCAAGTACGTCGAAGTTGCCTACAAGTGCAAACCATGTAAGTAATTTCCTTTTATTTGGAACAAATATATTTTATTGAAACTATGTTAAATGTTGAACGTAGGCCAGAAAATTGAAATTATTTTCCTGTGATCAAAATTATAGTGTTTTATTTGAAAAACGCTTTTATATTATAAAATATGTGACGCAAACGTTTATAAGATTTTTTTATTTTTCAGTGAGGGTACTTTAAGCCGTTTATGAAATCTAATAGGCTACTACCAATGGACACCTTTTAATAAAATATCGATTTAATTTAACACTTACCTTAATACTCAAGTTTTTTTGATAAAAAATAATTAAGTTTTCTTTAATTCAGACAATTTTTTTAAGATTTCGTTTAATGCAATGTGTAAAAATCTGAAACGCCAGTATTAACCAGAATCAATTCTTGTCTACCTTAAGAGGAACAAAAAGGAGGGGTGTAATAACAAAGTATGCAAAAAATGTATACTATGATACTATCATTAGTTAGCTTATTACAATGTCATTATTCATCAACAAATCAAAGCAGTAATTTTGGGGCTTTTAGAATAACACATTATTAACTTTATATGACGTTATATTAAATTTTTCAATTATATTTAGAATTTTATTTCAATAATTTGTATTCCAATAAGAGGTTTCCAATGTGTTTTTTTGCTACTCTTCTTACCTCAACCTTTGTTTATGTTATTCGGTTCTTAATTTATTTTTAGAAATATTCAAGCAGTTCGTGAAAGTGTGGCTGAAAATAAAATGTGCGCACAACTTTTGGACGTTAGCCGAACTTCATCATGGCGAATTTTGTTAGGAATTATTAAAAAAAAAATCCCGTTTGCAAGCGTCCAATAAAAAAATCAATTCTGGAATACCGTCTATGCGATCGAAAAAAATACTGAACGAGAAGATTCAAGAGATCAAACTCTATAAACCTTAGTCCTTCATAATACTGAAAATTGGGGTTCCCTAATAATGATAATTCATGGCCACATAGCCCTTATGGACAGCTAACACTTTGGTATTTAAAGTTTTTGCATATTGTACAGGGTGCTCTGGATGTTATTAATATTAAAAAATGTAGTAGTTGCCTCAAATTTCCTGCTGTCGACTTCAAATTTGGAATATAAAAATCCGTACCCACATCTATACTTTTAGAAACTGGGCGCAATCTAATATCGCCAAGTTTTTTTTTTCATTTTTGAAATTTTTTTTTGGGTAAATTAGGCGTCCAGAATAAAAATATTGTCTCAAAGACTATTTACCTTATCGGCAAAATTCTTGGACCAGGAACTATGGGAGATCCGCGACTATAACTTTTATTTCAGGCATTTTTTTGATTATATACAGGGTTTTTCAATTATGGACCATAATCTAAAAGACCCTGAAAATTGTTCTTTCCTAAAGTAAATTATTAGCCGCAAATCAAAATTTATACTTTACTATAAGCTGCACCACATATTTATTATTTACACGGTTTTCGCTATTCCTTGAGTTCAGTCAAAAGATGGAATAATTTGGTTTAAACCGTATCGTAAACTGAGGCGAGCGTTAAAATTTGCTGAATTACAGTTCTTATGTATTATACAGGATGCGCGAAATATTTGAACAAAAATATTATTTAAATCGCTTTCAATGGTATAAATTTTTATATATACCAAAGTTTGCCATGATTTTGAATTTTGACGACCGAGAAGGGCACCTCATACAGGGTGTGCGCATAATAAAAATACATCGATTTTACGAAAGTTCCGTAGTGGTCCGCAGGAGTACGATACAAAAACACTGCGTCCCTCTAAGACAAGGAACCGCTTCGCGGCAAGCGCTACGAACTCGCCCTGCCCAGCGACGATTTGTTACTTTCGAAAATCGATGAAATCGAATTTTTCGAAAGTATCTAAGCTCGTATAAAAATTTTAGATCACGGTAACGGTAGGCCCTATGGGATCGCCTTTGGTCCAGATATGATCACCGTCTGTCCGTTCTCCGTTCTCCGTTCTCGTCTTTTGTTTTTTCCTGAATAACTTTCGAATCGTTCGAGCTACAAAATTAAAATTTGCCTCATTTTTAACCCTCCACGAGACACGTAAGCTTGTAAGAAATGGCCCTGATCCGAAACCGGTATCCACCTTTTTTTTACGATTTTCGACTGTTTTTTGGACATTGCTATGAAACACGATAAGTGTCCGAAATTTGAAGCAATCGACTTCATTTTTGGCAAATATATGCAGCTTTGCCCCGTGACGAGATCTATTGCAAATGAGGGGGGGGGGGGTTGGCAAGTATTCTAAAAAAAATAAAAATCCTGTGTGCAAGGGTCTACAAAAAACATAATTTTTCAAAAACCGTTTACGAGACCAAAAAAATTCTTGAATCAGAAGACGCAGAATATACGGCTCCATAAACTTTTATTCTTGACTTTACCAAGTATTTTTAAAAAAATATATTTTTTTTGGTAATTTCAGCTTCCACAAAAATATGTTTTCCTCCATAATCGTTAACCCAATCGGCAAAATTCTTTAGCCAGTAGACGCGGAAGATCCAGTGCGATAACCTTTATTCTAGGCATTTTTTCGATTATATACAGGGTTTTCAAATTATAGGTAAAAATCTAAAAGACCTAGAAAATTGTTCTTTTATAGAGTAAATTATTAGCCGCAAGTCAAAAATCGTAAAAAAAAATGGCTAATAAGTTCAATCAGTGTCATAGGCCGCATCAAGAGCCACAATTTTTGTATTTGCAGGTTTCGTCTATCACATACGCTGCTCCGGATATTTGAAAAATCCATATTGAAATCGCTATTTCGGGGGCTGTGAAGACGCGATGACGTCATTGATTATTACGGCGCACTGCATGGTTTCATAAAAAACTTATTTTCTCGAAATCTATTTACTATTTTCAAAAAATTCTTGGACCAGGAAACGTGGAAGATCCAGGGCTATAATCCCTACTTCGAACATTGTTTGATTCATATACAGGGTGTGTCGTTTATGGGCAAAAAATCTAAAAGATCCTAAAAATTTCCGTTTTACTGGATAAATTATTGGCAATAAATGAAAACCCGTTAAAGATGGGATAATTTTATTTGAACAGTATTGTAAACTGTGTCGAGAGAGAGTTTCAGATTTCGTCAATTATACAGGGCGCGAGCTATTTGAAAAAATGTCATTATTTTTGTTCGTTGTATTTATGATATTATTTGTGCAAATTTTAATATTACCGATGTTTGCTGTAACTTTGAAGTTGGACGAGATGTGAAGGACACTTTATACAGGGTGCATGCACAATAAAATTACATCGATTTTGCGAAAGTTCCATAGTGTTTCACAGAAGCAGGATAGAAAAACAATGCGTCTCTCTAAGACAAGAAACCGCGAAGCGCCTTCTTTTGGAAATAAAAAGCGGATCCATGATACATGCGACGAACTTACCCGGCCCAGTGCCGATTTTTTGAAGGCAATCTTGTTCCATCTGGGGTAATGAAAATCTTAGACAGATCCACGAAACGTGTCACAGTTTGGTGCGGTTGTTGGGCTGCATTTTTTTGAAGATGAAGACGAAGAAGCTGTTATAGTAAATGGAGAACGATACCGAACGATTGATGTTTTTTATGAGATTAAATAATGAAAATGGATATAGAGAATATGTGGTTCCAACAAGATGGTGCGACATGTTATATAGCAGGTGAAACAGTAAACTTATTGGATACACAGTTTGGAGGCAGGCTTATCTCCAGGAAATTGGCCACCATGGTTGTGCGACTTGACGCCGCCAGATAATTTTTTGTGGGACTATGTGAAAAGTAAAGCCTAAGAAACTAATTCGCAAACCATTCGTGACATACTTCAAGAAATATGTTTAGCGGTAATGGAAAAAACTTCAACAAAGGATCGTGTGCTGCCAGAAGAGTCGTGTTGTGTTTCACGTATAATTATACACTATCCAGCAACATAAATTACTTTTAGGTATATTATGAAACTTTTAGTTTATTCGTTATCAACATTTGAAACCTCTTATTGGAATACGCTTTCGTTTTAATGTTATATTTAATATTCAAGTTAGTAATTCAACTTTAGTTGTAATTGTTTTAATATAATACACTGGTATTATTCCCTTGAAGTATCCCCTATTTGCTTTGGTATTTAAAAAAAAAACATAATTCACATCATTCATATTCATCTATCTGCACTTTGCACTTTTTTTAATAACATTTTCCGTAGTCTTTTAAAATAAACACTATATATTATATTATATTATATATTAATTAATTGGGTTCGTTTTCTTAACACATTAATCTGAGGTCAACCAGAAGCGATATCCCCAGAAAATCAGAAAATAACTCGAAACACTTTTGTCATTTATACCTTACCCACACTCAATCTGTGGACACACTGCATATTAAAATGAAGGACTTTTGTTTTTAAACAAGGATTCAATAATGCTGTAACTTAATAGACCTGCGAAAAAGAGACGTAAAAAATATTGTTTTAGAATTGGGTTTGTGAGATATGCTGCTAAAGCCAAATGTCCAACGCTTTCCGCACTTAAAAACAATAAAAAAATTATCGAACCATTTCAAAGCAAAGATTTAAAAATGCACCATTTCAATGGTTTCTTTTATTTAAGGTCGCTTTCACACCAAATACAATTTAAAAAAACAAATGCATTAGCATAAGATAATTGGTAGAACGCGTTTTTGGAATTAAATTCTTTGACGGATACGGAAACTTCATTAGAAACAAGACGAGAAAACGGAATTTAATATAAAAATCACTATTTTATATCGTGGCCCCGAGAATTAAATTAGATTTTTTTTGTCGCTCTATCGCGAATCGAAAAATATAGGAAATGAAATTCTCACTGAGCTCAGCCCATTTTCGAGGCAACCTAATAATTTTCCGCATTGGTACTGAACCAGTGACGTACTACTAAATTGTTGCAAAAATATAACACGCACATGCGGCTTATTTGTAAATATTTGTAATTTTATAAATTTATTTTATTTATTTTATTTTATT